CGCGTCGGCGTCTAAGAAACGGACCGCCTGAGTCCTACACGACGAGAACGACGGAGATGTGCCTTGGATGGAGCTCGAGTCGTCGTCGTGGGGCGAGTGGGGCGCATCAAAGATCGCAGGGACTTGCGCGCGCAAGAGAATTCGCTCCTTGGGCTCGGACCGGCGCTCTGCACACAAGGCGAAATGCACAATTGAGCTGAGAGGAGACACGACATACCGCCTTGGAAGCGCAACTTTCCAGCATGTACTCGACAGTGTCCTTGGCTATGATGGCGTGTACAGAGAAATCCTCAGCACATGCTCTATATGTTGCTATTGACGTTAATAGTACTTATTGCTCGACTCCTCATTCCATTGAGCACCGCCTTGATGCGAGGTCGGTCCAGAGATGCTTATTACCACCACTTTTCGTCATAGTATAGTACATTTAATAGACGACTACGGACTATTAATAGTAACCCGACTGTCCATTACTATGTGGTTTCGCCATAGTACTATATTACTATAGTAAATCGTGCGATAGTACTAAAAGTTCTACTATTTACTAACAAAGCGCTTGTCGGCCGCGCCCATGCCGGACAGGACTACGCCAGACCAAAAAAGCCTAACCCAGTCGATGTCGCGCTCAAACCACCCATTATCGAACAAGTATTACAATGTATTATCATTTGTTGGCATGCATGAGGATCTGCAGCTTCTCTGCACGGCTCGATTCGAGGCGCGTTCGCTTGGCGTTAAGTACAAAGCCGGCGGTCGAGAAGAAGCGTTCTTGGTATGCGTTTGACATGGGTCTAGCGAGGTAGATCCGGGCCAGCGCAGCGACGCTCGGGAAATCCCTCTCGCCAGTTTCGCGGAACCACGCGAGCACGTCAATGTGCTTGTACAGCTTGCAAACGTCGTAGTACTTGTCGACCTCGGTGTTGGCGGCATGCCACACATTTGCTTTCGTGGAATTCTCCCACAAGACTTCGAGTTCCACCCAGCGCTTCCACACCTTGTCCGCTTCGTCTTCGACGTACGTCCTGGATGGTTTTCCACACCTCAATTCGGTCCGTGGCGGGCGTGATTGACCTACGTTGGGATCCCGTCCGAGTCGAATGAAACGCTGCGAGCTTGTGGCCAACCGCCACGGTCGTCGCTTGGCACCGACTCATCGAATGGCGGCGAGTCGCACGTCTTGGTCTCTTCTTCGTCATCGCTCTCTCGTCCGCTTATTGCTGCTCTTGCAGAAGTGATTCGCAGTAATGTATTACCCTACCAAGTACTATTATTATTAATATATGACTGGCACTTACTATTGATATTTTAAATGCGTAGTACTATTTAAATTCACGATGAATATAGTAGTTTTTGTAGTACTAAAGTACTAAATACTATTTTGGTGCAGTACTAGTGGCGTAGTACTAAGCATCTCTGGGTCGGTCGCTGATGTCTGGCTTAACGTTGGTCGAATGGCTGGTGCCATCCACGAACCATTCTGTACATTTATACCGCTCGTTCATGATCTCTGCTTTTGCATGCTCGACCTTCCCAGGCTGCATCGACTCAGAAACGGCCAAATCAGCGCTACGAAGGACCCGACTATGTAAAAGGTTATTTTGAATCAGATGCAGCTTCAAGCCTTCTCCTTTGGTGCTATCTGGTAAGGCGAATTGTTCCAAGGCTAGGGAATCCATGATCCTGCGCTACCAGAGCTCGCCGAGTGAGAACTCTCTTGTGACGCAAGACGAGGGCGGACCGGTGTTGCTAGTGTACGGTACCGGTACACAGTGTGAGCCTGGTACACGTTCATGTTGCACGTTATTACCGATGCATCCGTCAATGCGTCCCATGCATTCGCACCGAATCCACCCTCGTTTCGTAACGCTCAAAGTGCGGACCGACGCGGCCAGCGAAATATCTGCGACTGTGCGGTATTGCAACGGGGTGCACTTCCCACCCACCGCTCCTACGAAGCATCGCGACTTTCCTGGATCGTCGCGGAAGTCGGTTGGTTCTGAGCCCAGCAGTGAGCCCAGCCACCGACGACCGTTGCAGTGATATTGATTGATGATGGGAAGCTTCTGTGCACGCAACTTGTTTGGCTTCAAGAGCATTCCGACGCAAGCCACTATCACTAGCCAATCAACGCGTGCCGAACCTGAATTTCAGCCAATAAGCGTGCGGACCATCACGCACATGTCGAAACGTCGTCTGATGCTCGTGGCGTTCGATTTTTTTACTGAACAATCGATGCGCGCTATTTCACCACTTGCATCAATCATATGATACTGAGCTGAATCCGCAACGTTCATTGGTGCAAATGGGCCAGCGTGTCGGCAGGGTCGTTGGGTACCTGTCGCATGCGGTTGGCGCTGAATGTTGATAGCCTCAACAATTTTATATGCATGGTCAAATTAAATGATGTGTTTGTATTCGATAAAATAAGGAAGCGAAGTGTCTCACGGAATCTGAAAATATCACCATCATTCTGCCAACGTGCGGAAATCGAATATCGCAACGCACACGTGTAAAACGTGTAAAGCGTGGAAATACCGAGTCACTCTGCTTGATACGCTCCGGCGACCTCCAGTGTCGTCGTCGCTGCTGACGATACCAGCTAGATTGCTACATGTATGAAGGCTGACTCTAACAGCATAGCGCGTTGAGGCCACGGTGTACGTCAATGATCAGATGCATTGATGCCCTTGCAGCTGCGCTTCCTCGTCGCCATCACCAAGCTACTTTTCTTTTTGTCGGCTTTCGTCGGCTTGTTGTTGACGACGTACTACAGTACTCTTGAAGGTCTGCTTGAAGGTCGCAGTTGGCACGCTGTACTAGTAGTATCGCACTATGCAGACCAGACGCGTGGATCTTTCTACACACGTTCCTTCCAGTGCACGTCCAATACCATGGACCTACGAGAGACAACCCAGAGCTCTGCGCGAGTGTTCCAGGCAGCGCGAACGTCTACGCTGCTGCTGTGCTACTACTATTACAAGTACCGAGTGATTGCATGCAATCGTGGTCGATTGACGCGTCAACACGTACGCTCGTGACTCACGTGTGTGAAAAACGTGTTTTTCACCCACCCTCCCAAACCGGATTTGTTGATGGAAGGCAGCACTCGCAGCTTGCCAACGCAAGTGGCCAGAACCGACTTTGACCGACTGAGCTCAGATGCATCCGAGCATGGTCTTCTTGGACTACTTCAACCGCGCGCCGTGGCACACGCGCCACGAAGGCCCGGCGCGCGACGGCCTCGGCCTGCACCACGCGCTCCTGCTCGGCACCGCCTTCCTCGTCGCCTACGTCGGCGTCCGCATCGCGCAGTGGCTCTGGCGGCCGCACGCATACGACTTTGACGACGAGCTACCCAAATACTACAACGTTCAAGCACCAAGCGTCGACGCGAGCTCGTGGTCCGAGTTCCTCTGGCCGTTGCTGTGGGTCGACCGCGTCTATTGGACCCGCGACGTGCGTCGCGCCAAGTACCGCCGCCGCCACAAGACGAGCAGCATTGCACTCGATACGATCCCCGAGGAGACCGAGAAGACGACCTTTAACGAATACACGGTGCTGCGCATGCCCAGCGCGCTCAAGCTTTCTTAAACGCCGCGCGATTGGAGCGCGATCCGACCTATTTAATACGAACCACTGATAAGTTAAGCGAATACCTTTTGCGCATGTTTCCCTTGCGCCCCATTCCAAAGATACGAGCACGTTGGTGGACCGACGCATCGAAGGCGTGGACCAGCCGGGTCGACGTTGCTGGCCCGCGCATGCCCTCTGCTACCAACGACAAATGGACTACTAGTACATGGGAACCGTAACTATGGACGACGCTGCATACAAGCTCGCTCGACACACGGTCAATAATCGAAGCTGGCAGAAGGAGAACAACGCCAGCGTTGGCTCGAGCCAGGTGTTGGTCCCTGTAGCTCGTGCACCGTTGCCCGCTTCACGCACTCGGAGCCACTTGTCAGGTTCGTCGAGTGTGTCATTGCTTCGTGTATGTATGTCTTGATTAGAGCTCATTGCGGAAATAGGTTCCGGCAGAAGCGGTGTCATGAACCAGGCGATCGTTGTGCGCCCATGGCCTCACGAATTGCTGCTGCCAATCAGCACACAACGCCAGA